TATCAGTTCTCTCATTTTACTTTTATTATTTTTTCTTTCAAGTTGCATACAACACGTAATATACAATTTATCATTACATCGATAAACGAATCGCGTTATATACACTCTTTTTATATAATATAATTAAATAGAATTGAATGCAACGTATTTGTGCTCAAAAGATTTCGTTTTTTCATAAAAAAAATAAATAAAAAATGTCTTATTTCTTGAAAAAACCTCGTAATTCGGGTGTTTCACTTGTAGTCCCTGGATGATACCTCTAGACATCGATTTTCGACTCGATGAACATACGGTTTGAAAGTACATTGCTTGACCTATCTACCATAAAAATATCTTTTTGTTTCAAGATTTCTAAGTGCACTTTCAATTGCATACAAGTTATGCTATGAAAAGAACCAAATAATTGGGGTAGGTATTTCAACTTTTGCCCTTCAATGTTGAGTCCAATCGAAATAATTCTTTCAGATTCGGAAAGAGCATGGCGAATTACATCTGAAAAGACTATTTCAGATCAATAAAGACCATATTTGGTTGATCTGTGGGGCCAAAAATCAGAAAAATTAGGGGGTGGAACCTATTTTTATTTTTGATATAATTCGACAAGAAAGTGTACTCGTGAAATACAAATGACATAGTCTTAATCAGCACATCGTAATGCATAGGATTAGATAGTTTTTGTATTAAATTTCGAAAAAAACATTTTTTCATTTGGTCTCCAGAGACCCCACCAGGTGGTCAGGAACCGAAAAATGTTTTTTTTCGATTTTTATCATTCTGAAACACAGAAAGTACTCAAAATTTTATGCTGATTCCGAATATATATGTCTCCTTGCCTAGTTTTTTGGTCCGAAAACATGCCTTAATAGTACTCCTCCTTTCGATGAAGAAAGTTTCCAACTTCGTGGTGTTGTGTATGTGTGACAGGGCTGTTGTTTATCAAATGTTTTTTTTTCTTACTTTTGCAGAATAGCAATACTTGACATTTTTTACCTTTCTTCTTTCTTCCTCAAACTTTATAAAAGCGGTGCTCACCTCTTGCTTAATTGTTTTCTATTATTCAATCAAATTTGTTTGTTTCAAAACGAATAGAAACTTAGTGACAAGTAGTTGTTTTACAACGACTTTTTTGTAGTTCTGTAACATCAACATTTATTTTTTCTTCTTCAACACGTTTTTTCGATTTGTAAAGACTGCTCGGATTATTTTAGTTTTTGTGTTCTTCAAGATTTATATCGTGAAAAACACACTGAATTTATTTCAAAAAGGATGCGGATGTCGGTGTGGATGTGCTGAATGTGCTTGCTTCCCTTCACATCGAAACCTACACTAGCACACACTCACATTCTCTTCTTCTAATGGATATATACTAAAGGAAAGATAAATTAGCATACAATGAGAAGAGCTGATGCATATTTCATAGAATATAACGAACAAAAACTTCAGTTAACATTATTTTGTCAAGTGTGAGTGTAGGTATATGGGTGAGGAGGGCGTGGGTGTGTGAATGACTCTTCTTTTCACTACATTCACACCCACACCCACACCCACATATTTTTTTATGTCATGTTTCATTTTCGGGTTTACCATACAAAAGTTAATATATTTTTTTTGTAAAATTTCACGCAAAATCTTTTCATAAAAATTTGTTACCGTCCATCACACATATTCAGTAACACTCTTCCGTTTTATGAGTAAAGTCAGGAAAATTTCTATTACGAATCGTAATGAATTCGGTTAGGACACTGGCGACAAAAATGAATCGCACTATCGATGTATCATCATTTGAAGGTGAATCAACACAGAAACTCGCTTTGATATTTGAAATAGAATATTTGATAAAGTGGAGATTTTTACTAACAATATAAAGTTTGGCTTCAGATTATAGCCAAAAGTTTAGGCTATAGTTTGGCGAAAGAATTTTTTGAAGGAAACACTGATTTCTTTCAAATTTAGGTTTTACTGCTTTCCTATGAACTAATTTCAATTGGCGATTGGTGATTTGGTCCAATGGAAGAAATCTGTTTTTCAATTTATCCCAGATGAGATATGTCGCATACCATTATAGGTTCCCTATTTTTATATATTTTAATACAAGAGCAGCAAACACAGCAAGACGAAAATGCAAGATTCTGTATTCGTTTGTCTTTGATAATGTGGTCTTGTCACTATGTTTGATGCAAATGTGATATCATTTGATGCGTTAGGAGCTCCTTATCATTTGCGTTAGAAGTAATGGTTTGAAGAGCGGTCATATAAAGCATTGTCAACAACGTAACTGATAATAGAAAACATGGGACGAAAGTACGAATAGAACTTCTCATTAACAAACAAAACCTGAGGAATGTTTATTGTATTGCAAGGTTTTAGAGTGAAATGAACGAGAAATTAAGTGAGAGTAAACTTGCTCATTGTGCGATGTCACCAGTGAACTATGAATGCCTGGTTTGTGTACTTTGTCTTCATAGATAATAGGGTAAATATGCCTATGCAACGTTATCTATTACACAGCAACCAACGATATATTTATATATTAACACAGTTAGTAACATACACTAACCTATTTTCACTTGCAGATGAAGACGTTGATAGCATTTGTTATTTGCTCTACATTTTTCATCATTTGTTGTCATGGCTCGGCCGATGTGTACACTAATGATACGTACATTGTGGATAGTGCAGGTCGAGTTCGCATCTACCACGGTGCCAATTTCGTCATGAAAGAATTTCCCTGGTATCCAAGTGAATTACTCGACAAGGAATTTGTGGCCAATATGGAAAAATGGGGTTTGAATTTTGTTCGACTTGGGTACGTCCTACTTTGATTATTCAGGATTCTTGAACGTAGGTGTTATTTAGAATGATGTGGTCTGGCGTCGAACCGCTAGAACAAAAGTACAATCAAACCTATTTGGGTATCATGAAAAAAATCGTCGAACTATTGAAATCCCACAACATTTTTGTTCTACTCGACATGCACCAAGATGTATTGAGTAGTCGAGTTCAGTCATATGATGGCATACCAGCATGGTTATATGATAAGTTTCCAGCTCCAGCGCATGCATGTTAGTGATCATGCACAACTGATAGATTCTAATTACTTTGAATGTCTATTATTTTCTAGATCCTTGGCCATTGAACTCGGCACCACCAGTTGGAGATTGGTTCTTTGGGTAAGTAGGATGTATCTTATGAAAACATCTAACTAACGCTACTTCATTACAAGGTATATAACAGAAGCATGTTCGCATGGATTTCAATGTTTGTATGACAATGTGTCAGGTGCTGTAGAATCAATGAGCAAATTCTGGCGATTAGTGGCTAAAACGTTTGGAGGATATTCAAATGTGCTAGGGTAAGCATTTCATTGAATTGTTTCGCCAATCTATAGTAAAAATGATGACTTAATGATTCGAATAGATACGAATTGATTAATGAACCTTGGGCTGGAAACTACATTGCCAACCCATTTTTGATATTGCCTGGTATCGCGGGTTCGACGAATTTGCAACCACTCTATGATAAATTAGCTAAAGCTATTCGATCAGTAGACAAAAAGACGTTGATTTTCTATGAACCAGTAACATGGGGAGGTCGGTAAAAATATGAAAGCCAACATTTGATTTCTATTTGTCATGCTGAATTGAAAATTATCTTTGTAGTTCGATTGAATGGTAAATACGTTGGTACAGGATTTACTCATGTACCAGGTGGTGACTCCTATCGTGACCGCAGTGTTTTGTCCTATCATTATTATTGCATTGTCTTGTCACTCGATCCCGTTCCAGGCAATGGTACCATACCTATTTTTGAACGTGTTCTCTGTGATGATATCGAAGGACCGGCTGTCTTTGAATCTGTTCGAGTAAGAATACAAGATGTGATAAGATTGATTCAACCAAAAAAATTAAAAAGAAGTTTATTCTTACTGAATTCATTGTGCATTAATGAAGATCAAATACTCAATGAAAAGTTCTGACTTCTGTCTCTGTATAGTAGTAGATGCTACAAAAAAAACACTAGTGTGAGATGAGAGTAAATACTGTTATTGGAACATACGATGACTAAAGAAAAATGAGAAGCATTAAGAACCCGACATGATAGAAACATACATGCATTCCATGCGCAAATAGACAAAGGCCATAGTTGACTGTGAATATTCTTGCTGTATAAAAAAAAATATTTAATTTCGGGAGAGTCTTTCTAGTGATACAGAATTTCATTGATTATGTATGTTCCATATTTTAGCTTTATCAATCACTGTGCTTTTAATTTTTTCATAGTAAAAATAGCCATTCTTTTTCTAGGTTGATCTCCTTCGGTTAGGTGGCTCAGCATTTCTGACTGAATTCGGTGGATGTGATGACTCACCCACATGCGACGAACAACTTCGGTGGGCTCTAGGTGCAGCGGATGAATTTTATCAATCGTGGGCCTATTGGGGGGCTGTTCGCGATCAAAAAACTACCATCGATCGGCTGGCACGAGTGTATGCTAGAGCTATCGCCGGCAAACCTATTCTCAACATGTATGTTCCTGAAAGACGATACTTCTACTTGACCTATTACATCGATACAACCATCAATGAACCTACAGAAATCTTTGTGCCCAATTTACACTTTCCAAAAGCAAGTTACAATGTAACTGTCAGTGATACACTGAAATGGAAAGTCGACTCGACGAATCCAAACATTGTTCTAGTAGAACCTAGTGATCAGCTGCTGCGAAATGGAGATGCGGTTATCATTGGTACTGTAGAAATCAATCCAAAAATGTGATGAACAAGGCTTTGCATAATTTAAAATCACTCTATTTTTTTATGCAGAGTTTTTAGAATATGTGATGATTTTACTGAAACACGATTATGAATGAATATTGAAATTTATAGGGAGAAAAAGGTGTGGATATGAGTGAATTCAAAAGATCTACATCTACATCCACACTCTATTTGACACATAAACAACAAATGTACTTGCACATGGTAATGCCTCGAACTAAATATCTTTAGCTAGATCGAATCCGCTATAATTTATTTCTGATGAATAAGAGGTTTCGCTACACACGTTATGCATTTTAGAAACAACCTCGAATATCTTTTCAACGAATGACAACTGAATTTAAATCCTACTCTGCTGAGAGAATGAGAAGCCTCATGTAAAAAAAAACATGTCTATCGTATCTCAAAATCATGATAAGGGATTGATGATGATGGTGAGATGGTGTTTTATTAGTTATAATAAGATAGAAAAGAATATAACAAAGAAAGGTGAGAAAAAAGAAGAAATGATATTAATAGTGAAAACCAACAATAACTGGCAGGTTCGAGAATATTTCAGGAGAAAAACAAAGAAAAGGATGGAAAACAAACTAGTAACAACTGAAGAAAACTGCTAGTGGTAACACGATGATCTCTATTGACGTCAACATCTTCTCTCTTCGTCCGAGTGAGCTACCCCGGTTTTTCTGCATGCTAGAGCGTACGTCAGAACAACGACTATCTCAAGATCGCATAGGTACAACGACGCAAAAAATTGAAGATAAAAGAACAAACACAACAATAGCAAAAGACTTTATAAAAGTTAGCAATAACAATAGAACAGAGAAATATGACAATTAGAAAAACAAAATAAGAAAAATGAGTAAGGTCTATCAAAGCATCTCCGAAACTTTTCTCGTTGAAAATGCATGTTGATAACATCATTTCGGCATGTTCTAAATTAGATTCGAAGAATATGTTTTCTATAGTTTCGATAGATGAGCATATTTTATTTAATGCTATTGAAATAGCTGTTTGAAATTTTTTAATATGCTATACATGTCAATCTTTCTTTTAACTATGTACTGTTGTTATTGAAGTTTTAATTTTGCATGACGCATTTTATTACGTCTATTGAGTACTTCTCAAGATCGATGATTAATGTAATAGAATATGACTATTATTGACATCATTTATTTTCATAATTAGTGATGAACTTTAGATATGCAATTATGACGATTGAACGGACGATATATTTAACCACTACTTAAATGATTATCAGTCACGTGAAAATCTACGAATGTGAAATGCAAGATACTTTATAACAAGGAATAATGTTAATACTATATTACTATTTCTGTTATGATTCATATGATCATAATTTTTACGAATGAGATCAATTCTAAATTCGACTCGTTCAATTATTTGTGACGGATCAATGATACAAAATGAATTAGTAACGATCAGGGGCATCAGAGCTTTTGCTGATAATAAATAAGATGATATTGTCGATACAAGAATTCGTAATTGAATGACTAATGCTGGTACAATGTGATGTTATTATCAATGTATCAACATCTTTTACATTTATCAAACAAAGCATAAGTATTAAAAGAAGTTAGTTTTAATGAAAATAGATTCAGAATAGATTAGTTGTAGCAGACATGATTGAACAAACTCAACGAGCTTTGTGTACATTATCCAAGTGTGACATGTGTTCATGCATATACGTGTCTAGGTGATTGTGTTACTGTTTTAGTAAGAAATAGAAACTGTTAAATTTTTTTTCAACTTATAGTGTGAAATGCATTTCTGTGCATTTTCGTTACGTTTTTCATTAGTTAATTTATTTTTAATGTGAAAAAGAGAATTTCATCTAATCTATAAATCGATATAGTTTACAAACTTATTATTGAACATTTCAGAAAAAAATGCTTAAAACGGTGTGTAAATAGTGTTTGGCATCGGATCTTACACTATACTTCGTGCAAGCCATCATTTTTTAATTTTGACATGGAGAAACCTCTGTGGTTGTCATCCTGAACAGTATTATCTACATGACAGTTGAATTCTTCGTCTGTAAACCTATTTTTTATAATTGAGGAACAAAATGAACAATAATATGCTTGCAGATACTGCTCTTGATTCGTTTTAGTATGTATGAAAAGCGACAAGCTCTTCTTGGCATATCTCGCAAGAAAAGTGATTAGAATGTCGTTCTAGCTACACGAATCTAAGCAACATTTTATTTAAAAGATTCAATTCTGGAGTAGGTTTTGACTTAAAACCCTTTCATAATGAGAGCACCTGCTTGCAACAGGTCGCTTATACCGAAAAGATTTTTATATTTCTGATTGAGGACATTTTGTATGATAAAAAATACTTTCAAATAGAATGTTTTTTCTTCCATCTTGGCTCTCGATTACAAGAATGATAAAGTTTGAGGAAAGTCCAACTACTTCACCGTACCTTTATATGATACCAACGACTTGGTTTTTGTATGGCATTGTTACTCAAATCATTAAGCTCTCAATCTGGTTCCTATCAAAAGGTTTTCTAAAAGTAACAACCTGCTTTTCATTTTGGAACGGATATGACATTGAGTTGAACCCATTTTAAAGATTTTTTTTCTTGAGAAAAACTGCCTTCTTGGGAAACCATGGGGACAAGTTACTATGAAATACAACGGTGTAGCATCGCAGATGAATTTTTTATTTTTGTCTAAAATGTGTTTGGTTGGATGTAGTTTTTGATATTGATTCCGAATGCTGTATTCATTTTGCTTGAAAATTGTGTCATAGCAAGGAAAATAGATAAAAATATTTTTTTTGATTGTTAATTGAAAAACTATCGAAAACTATCATGTGAGAGAAATGTGCTTCCTGTTTCATCCCCAAGATACGATTTATTCTTGAACATTTTTTACCATTTTATAGAAAATGAAAAGTTGCAGAACAAGTATAGAATTCAGCTTGAAACTCTCGAATTCCGAATCTGGATTGTAGTTAAATAATTATCAAATAGACATTTGTAACTCATTGAAAGAATTATTTTTCATCCATGATAGCTCTCTGAAACTTCCGTCAATGGAAATTGTACTAAACTAAAATATCTTGTTTTGTTCAACTTTAATTTCTTTCTTATTTATTGTAATTGATAAAAACACTTGAATGATTCATTGAAATAAAAACAAGCTACTTTTTCTCTCATAAACATGTGATAGTGATGACAAGTACGTATTGACTAGCTTTTCCAAGAAAGGGTATTGAACGCTGAAATTTTGGCGTTCAAAGCATCAAACATTGATACTTTACATGCACGAAGAAAAGCCTTTTTTTATTAAGTATTTCGTATGCTCAAATTTTATTAGAGTTTAATAAAAATATTGTCTAGTTACTTGTGAATCATAGATATATTCGAAATCTCCTACGTTGAAATATCTTTATTCCTAGAATTAATGTAAATAATAACGGCTATATTCATCTCGACACTCAAAATATATCATGTTTGCTCATCCGTATAAATGGTTTGATTTTTTTGGGCTTCATAATCCTGCAAAGTATGCATACATCCACATGTATTCAAGGTAATTTTTTTATTTTTCTATCTTTTCTTTATAAACATCATCACAAATCAATCGATACACACAACATGCGACTTGCATGTACACATACACACAAATAAACAAGCTTCAATGTCTGATTTTTTTCTTCTAGAATTTTGTTTCGCTTATTATTCATTTGATAAATACTAACAATCATGGGTGGGAAACATACTCAACATACTCAACATACTCATCAAGTATCGAGTGGACTTACAGACGAACGTTTGTTTACTTTTTCTTTCAAAACATTCACAATAGAATGAATCAATGTTTATTTTAATTTTAGAAGTTGCTTCACTCAAAGCAAATACCAACTATACAGAAAAAAGGTACGCATATTTATAATCCTTTTGCTAAATAATTCAAATATTTCATGCTTGTTTGTTTTTTCTTTAATATAGAAATTCGAGAATGGCATGCGGTTTGTTACATCGAATCAAATATTAATTTACATCTGTGAGTTTTCTGTACATTGTAGGGCTTTATTCGTGATTGTCCAGCAGGCAAACTTGACAAAAAAAAATTTATTGAAGTTTTCAAACAATTCTACCCACAAGGCAAACCCGACAAGTTTTGCAAGTAGAAGCAATTACGATTTTGAAGATTTTTTTAGCTCATATGTATCTGTTGTCCTTTTGCATTTGTAGGCTTACTTTTGATGCATTCGATATCAATAAGGATGGTACAGTAAGCTTTGATGAATTTCTTATAGCCTATTCAGCTGCAAGAAATGGTAACCTTGATGATCGTCTTGATCTTGTTTTTCGTGTGTAGGCATATCAAAAAATATTACTTTTTAATCTATGATCTCTCTAATATGTAGATATGATATTTCGGATGATGGATTTATTGATGAAGAAGAATTAACAAAATTGATTGTTGCTTTGGTAAACTTTTGATTATATTCTTCTAATAAAATGATCTTTGTTCTTTGTTTTTTTCAGTATGATCTTGTTGGTAAAACTAATCGTAAAGGTGATCATGATCCAAAAAGGCGTGCCGCACAGATTATGGCAAAACTGGATGCTAATGGTGATAAAAAATTAACGAAAGCAGAATTCGTTAGCGGGTATATTTTACTTAATTATATACTTTTATGTTACGATCTATGGGTTTTTTTTTCATTAGATGTAAAGCTGATCCATTTCTTCGACGATTACTTGATCCGAACAGCTAAATATCGAATATATAATCTTCTACAAATACATTTCATTCTCTAAGAAATAAAACAATTTTTTAAATTTTTTTATTAATCAAAAACAAACATAGATAGCATCCTAACACATTTGTATACGTCATATTATGACAAAGAACAAATGTGTATAAAAGATTAAGACAAAGTAAATTTCCATGACTGAATTAAAACATTGGTATAATTACTAATATGTGTCTCCAAATCAAACACAGTTTCTCATTTTTCGAATCACTTTTTGATAGGAACAAGATAGAGAACTGCTGCTTTCACCATTCCAAAGAGCAGGATACAGGCCACAATGCCATATAAAAACCAGAAGATTGATACCATATAAATGTGCGGTTAATTAATTGGACTTTCCTCAAACTTCATCATTCAAGTGATGTCCATAGTTTATTTGTTGTTCAGGAATGAGTTCAAACGTTGAATATATACAGAAGAATAGTGTTTTTAGATCAGTCAACCAAATGAGTCTCCAACTTCAAATAATAAGTCTTATCGAAGCTGAAATTCTTACGAAAAGTGGTTTTTTTCTGTTGATCACTCTATTTTGAAAGTAGAAATAACCAACAGTTTTTTTAATCAATCATGTTAGATAGGAATAGGTTATGCACGATCATGGTATATGTGCTAATGTTTATTTGAGGCACACGATTACGAGAAGAAGTAGTCAGTTTGAGAGACAAGCAAAACTACAACGAAAGCTAGCTGAGAGGTTGAAAAGTTTCGGAAATAACGTTATTATCGAGTTAATCGCAGCAAAAGAAAACTGTTCTGTAGTGGCACCTATCCTAAGTTCTCCAAACAAGAAACGAGAACGTATTAAAAGTGTGATGTTGTTGCTTCCAGTAGAGTTGGTTTTCTGTCCAAATGATACATGATAGAAACCTGCGGTTTTTGTGGTTTTATAGAACATGACCTAGACGATTGAACCCATTTCTCAACAACAAATACATTTTTGGAAAGTAGGAGAATGACGAAGCTTGAGAAAAGTTCAATTAATAACCGTACATTCACATAATATCAATCCCTTAATTTTTTACAAGGCACTGTTGCTCACATTCTACTGTTTCGAATTGTGAAAATCGCAGCTGTCTATCTTATTCTGATCAAAATTTATTTAAAAAAGAGGCAAACTGCCTCTCAATTTGAAATCGATATCAATTATTTTTAAAAAATGATGTCAGACATGAAATCTATAAATTTTTAGGTTCATTTAGATAGTTGTAAGATTATGATCAAGAATAAAAGTAATAGAAGAGAAATCATTTCGATGGCACAAAATTTTGTAACATAAATAAAATACCACATGATTCTGTTAATTTAAAATCGTATATGATAGTTGAATGAATAACACTTTATTAAATAAGGTTAAAAGAAGTAGAATAAATCATGAAGTGTCTACTTATTTTCACTATCATCTGTAATTGGTTTTGGCATATTTAATTGTTGATAGCTTGAAAAAAACCAAAGAACAATATTTAATACCTAGGCGTAACACTATAAGCAAGATCTTAAGTGAGAATTTCTTTATGTTTTCGGAGAAGGTCAATGACATAAAATATTTTATCGCCACTGGTCAGCTATAACGTTCAATTTTTCTTCCAAAACTATGCACGATGTAGAGAATCCCAACCTAGCTTCCATGATTTTTATTCTTTGGATACCCATGTCAACATTTTAAATGATAGGATATTAGACGGCATTTTCTTGTGTAAGAACAATAAAGTAAGTAAAAGAATACAATATTGAGTTTTGCTAAATCGATCTATAAAATTTTTCACTAACAAAAAAAGAAAAACACTATATTTCACTGGTGCAGAGTCTTGTTGAAATGTAATCAATCATTCTTTCACGATTGTCACAATTCATTTTTCTCCATTCACTGTTCAATCTACTGTTTAACTGTCTTAAACTAGGTTGTGGTTGCTGATGTAAGGGTGTCGATATGAATATTAGGTGAGGTATCGATGTAGGAAAGGGTGTAGCATGAGTGTAGGGTTACTAAAGAATACATACACGCGCACCCACATTGTGAGCTCAATTTTTTATCCGCACGATATTGCGACCAAATATTTTCATTCATTAAAAGCATCCGATTTGATTCGAGTAAATATTTAGAAAGCATAGAAAACTATTAAGGATAATTTATTTATAGAAATACAATGGAGTTTTACAATCAAATCGTGTTCCGATATTACATATTGATTGGGATTTGACGATAGGATGGGAGATTTATATTTCACTTATAGGTCAGCTTCACAGTCAAAAGTATTTACATTTTTGACAAATGCTTCCTTGATGTCTAGAATGCCTCACTGCTAATCGATCTAATGAGATAGTTCATTTATTGATACAGAAATATGGCTTTAAATAAATAGCCGTAGAATCAGTTCAGCGAATCAATGATAATGATAAGACTTTATTGACATGTATCGATCCCGATGGTAAACATGATGAAAGTATGAATATGGAGGTTGTTCTGATCTTCATCCATACTCATGTACCACAACCTCCATGATGATGAGTGAAAAATGATTTGCAAAGTTTTAGACAATTTGAAAATATTATTTTAAGATAGTGTATATTGATACACAGGGTATGAGCGTGGGTTTGGTCCAAGAGCAGATCCATATTTACTCACATCCACATCCACATCATTAATTGTGAACATAAAGATTCAATAGAACAGAAAACTGCATGATCTTTAAAGTGATTAATATTTATAGATGTACAATAATTTTTTGTTGAAGTTTATTGAAAAACGTTTTTTGTAGTTGAAACATAAAACAAAAAAATTCTCAAACATCCACATGATGATACTGTTGATAAGCTTTATTATTATTCAGTCGAAGAAGATAACCAAGTTGTCGTCCAGGACCACATTCAAATGTATTTGGATAAGATTCATGTTTTGATCGTTGATACATTTTATGAATAGATTGTTCCCACAATACACTTTTTGTCAATTGTTGACTAAGTGATCGTTTAATAGCTGTAATATCATTTGAATGACGTTTACCAGTTACATTTGACATGACTTGAATAAGTGGTGGTTGCATATCAATTTTGTCTAATGCTTTAATCAATTTTAATTTTGCTGATGCCATCAATGGTGTATGAAAAGCACCACTTACAGGTAAATATTTTATTCGACGAATTCCAAATACTTTATAATTATGTGCAATGAATTGTAATGCCTAATTTTAACATATTTATTACAAAAACCAAAAAACAAACATAGAAAGACAAACCTCTTTATGTCCAGCAAGTACTTTACATTCAGCATACATATGATTAGCTATTTGTATACAAGGTACATCAATTTTCATATATTTATTGCACCATTCTCGTGCCGCTTCTATAGCTAATGTTAATTTTGTTTCACGACCAACAAAGACAGACATCATTCCACTATTTACTTCATTTGATGCTGATTGCATTGCTTCGGCACGAGTCTTAATTAAACGAAGGCCATCTTCAAAAGTCATACAACCAGCAAAGACAAGTGCTGTTATTTCACCAATACTAAAACCAGCTGTTACTACACAATTTTCTACTGCCTAAATAAAAACAAATTATAAATATGAATATATTGACACTTGTTCTTTAATCGCACAGTATTATTTTGTTAAATAGAATTCAACTTCATTAATATTTTTAAACATTATCTCTCTCTTTTTCATCTAATTTTATCGTTTCTCTTTTAATTTCTGATGTTATCATCAGTCAACATACAAAAATCATACATTTATTTACAGCAAAATATAGATAATAATGGTATCATTACTTACTTTTTGATTTTCACTTTTTAATTTTTGTACAGCAGCTAATGATGTGACATAAATAGCAGGTTGAGCATAAAGAGTTTGATTGAGTTCTTCAATAGGTCCATTAATACATTTAGAATAAAGATCATAACCAAGTATTCGATGAGCAATATTAAACATTTCTTTAACATTTGGATAATTAATTACTTGTTGTCTAAATAATAAATATTTTCATTATTTTGATATAAACAATTGATAATTAAACTTACCCCATACCAACAAATTGTGTACCTTGACCAGGAAAAAGAATAATACTTGTTGTACTTGGATCAATGAATGGTTGTGATAATTTTTGTTCATTACTTTCATTTTCATATTCTTCATGATTTAGATTATCTTCATCTACAAATGAACTACGTTCATCTTCAATTGGTTTGGATTCTTGTTCAAGTCGTTGTAATTCTAGACGAGCAAATTGCTCTTGTATAGATATTTGATTATTATCATCATCTACTGATATATTTTGATCTAAATTTGTAAATGATGATGGTGATATTTGTGGACGTTCAACAGAACGACGAATACCACGTGCCAAAAGATATGTTGATCGATGTAGAAATCGAACTTGTTGAGATAATAAACGACATTGAGAACAAAGTTTTAATGAATATCGAAAAAATGCCATTCTGGAAGGAAAAAACTATAAAAACAGATTTTTTTTTTAAATTTACTGAACACATGTATTGCTAATATTTTGTTTTTAATTGCAATCAAAAGAACAATCATATGGATCTCTCTTCTTTTGAATAGCTAGTAGACACAAAATTAATATTATTTTTATTGAAGCGGAAGTATACTGAACGATGTTGTATGACAAAACAAAAAACTAGGAAAACATATATATATATTGTACATCTGACAATATCGAACAAATATAAACAAGTTCAAAAATCTTCAATTTTAATATGAACAAATATTGTTCCTTGAATATAATCTCCATCTTTAGCTTTCAATTTAATATGTCGATAACCAAGTTGAAGTGCTGTAAATGGTACACAAGCTTGTCCAAGAAATGTTGAAGGACCATATCGATCTTTATCACGTACTTGAAATAGAATAAGACATAATTCTGGACAAAAAATATCTAAATTTATTTTATAATCCCATATTGGATTAAGACCATTATTACGAACTGATGGTGTATTATGTTCAGTACAATCAGATTTAATACCATAGGTAATAACTGTTACATAAGGATCAACAATATCTGTATGTTCAATATGATTCTTTTCTTTAGGTAAATGTTGTCCACTAATAATATGTATTTGTATATGTTTGCCTTTTTTATGATTATTATCTTTTGGATCAAATAATTGATTATCTGATAATAAAAATGATGGTTTAAGAAGATAACCACAACCACCATTATCACTGAAGAATGCACGTTGTATACACATAGCTTTATCATTTGCTTGATAATTAAGTGCAACCATTTGTACACCTAAATTAATAATAGAATATAGCTATGATTATGAAAAAATAAAATTTTATATACCATAAGTCCAATAGTCAACTGGATCTATATTACTTGAATCTTGTCGTTTTGTACCGGGATAAACACGTACCATATGTTGTTTTGTTAATTTAATTAGATCAAGATGTTCAGGTGATGGTTGATTAATTAAATCATCTGCTTTTGATTCTTTGAATGATATTGAATGAAAACATTTTTCTATCAAATAAAAAAATAAGTTATTAACAAAATTTTATTCAAAAAAAAGAAAGAAACGATATTCAACATACGTGTATATATTGTATGTATTATATTCATAAAAGAAACAATTTGAGAATAGATAATTAAATTTGAAAAATCAGGATGATAATCCTAAAAAATTGATTTGATAAATACTAATATCATAAAAATCTAATAAAAACAAAAAAAACAATACTTTTGGATTTGGTTCTGTTTCATCATTACTTCGATCAGATTTTGGATCAGCTGCAATTTTTCCTTTTGGATATCGACGACTCTATGATATAAAATTATTCATTTAAAAATATGTAAAGAATAATTAAGAAAAAAAAAAAATAAATAATTACCCTAATAATCACTTTATATTTAAGTTCTTCTGGTGATGGTAATTTTTCATAATCATCTACTAATGGTTTAGACAATAGATGATCTATTATAAAATATAAACAAAAGAACAATCACATCTACATACAAATACAGAAAAAAAAACAAAATTCAAATTTACCTTTAAAAGTATTTTTCAAAAGACGAGCCATAACACCTTGTTGTTCATATGAACAATGATTTTCAATATTGAAAAAAAGTGGATATCTATCAATAATAATAAAAGAAAATTCTCAAAAATAACTCAATAAATTCTAAATAATCTTACGGTGAAGTAGTAAATGCTTCAGTTTTAATAGCAAGAATAATTTCTCGAAATGGTATTGGTTTTGTTAATGTATTACCATGATAAACAATTGGTTCCATATTATCACCATCATAACAATCCACTATCATTCAAAAAAATGTATTGACAAAATTTTTCGAACAAATAAAAGCTTACTTTCAACAGCTCGACAACCAGTTCTTAATGCATGAATATAAGTTTCAGGTGTACAATCACCATAGACTTGATTATCACGAATATATCTATTTAAATAAATAAAAAAAAACAAAAAAAAATTTTAGCATAATCTCTGTAAAATAAAAATATGATATTGTTGTTCTTGTTAATCACAAAAAGATTAGTTGTTTTATTATTCAGATGCGGTAGCCTTGTATACCGCTTTAATTTTTCTTTTAGACTTGGTGCATATCTCTGCATTAGGATTGTAGTTTTCTATTCCATATACTTCAACATTCCTTATAAATTATGTTTCATATAATAAATGATGTGTTCGTAAATACTTACGTATTATGGGATGTAGCAATAAAATAATCAGTCAATGGTTGTGTCATATCTTGATAAATTCGATAAGATTTATTTGGATTCATAATACAAAATTCATCATGAAGTAAAAGTAAACGAAGACCATCAATACCCATTTCTTCATATTTTTTTCCTTCTAAAGATGGTTCAAATTTAGCAATTAATTTTGAACAATCTTCAATTGATAATGCTTCCATATGTTGTTCTTTTTCTAGAAAATCTTTTAATTGTTCAATAGTAAGATAATTCTTTTTATCAGTATCATCAGATGATGAAGCATTATGTTCTGATGTAATTGATGGTGATCGTTTTCGTCGAACACTTAATGAAGTATTTTTAGTTTTGGAATTTTTAAAATTGATCGACGAAGAATCATGAGGCTGTTCAACTGGATGTAAATGAGGTAATTTATAAATACTATTATAATCAGTAAATGTTTTTGTTGTTTGTTCTGTAGTACTACCATTAAATCTAAATTTAACAAAAAAAATAAAAATAAAAGAAAGAAGAAATGATTATTTTTATAAATAATGATTTGAATAAGGAAAAATAGGTCTTTTTTCTTATAATTTACTTCTTGTCTCTTAGGAAATATATATTTCTTATTCTAAATTTAACTTACTTGCAAATAATTTGAAGTAATTCTGGTCGATGTGATATAAATTCATAAAATATTAAAAATTCATCTTTATCTAAAGTACTGAATTCTTCATAATTAGTTCTACGAATATTTGCTTCATTAAAATATATATCAAAATCTCGTTCATCTAATTCGATATTAAGTGTCGATAGAAGTCGACGAGCTTCTCTACGATTTAAGTGTCCAGAATGATCACGATCGGCTTGTGAAAATAAATACCAAATCCATTGATTTGTTATTTCATGATGTGATTTTATATGAGATCGATAACGCTTGATTAAATATTCTAAACCTTGAATCCATTGTGAACGTATATTTTCTGTTTCAGCAAGTAAATCAAGAGAATGTCGATTATTATCATAAAGAATTGAAAAAACTAAATTTTCTTTATCACGTGTAATTTTTCTTTTTTCTAAACATTTTTTCCAAACAGCAGTTGTAAAACCTTGACGAATTTGTTCAATATCTTTTATTTTACCTAAAGAAAAAAAAAAAACAAATAAAAACAAAACTATTTATCATCAGATATAACTAAAAATATAATCATAATTTTTTATACATGCTTCACGTTTAGATTTATGTCTTGATCCTAGATAATGAATTGCATCTTCCGATAGATTAAGATAATAAATACGTGAATATGTACGACCACTAGATTTAAATTTAATAAATGTTACTCGATGTTTAAGTTGATCGATAAGATTTGAATCTTGTAATTGATTTGTAGTTGATGAATCAATACTCATCAATCTAAAGTGAAAAATATTTTAAATTAAATTCAAAAATCTGAAAAAAAAAAAAAAAAAGAATAATCAAACCTGTCCCATTGTACTTTATCCATAGTCGTGTTAAAGAGAATGTGTGTTTCAAATTGCTTCTTTTTTTTCTTTTTATTTCTAACTGAGTGAAATATATGCGTGAATATTTTTTTTTTTCTATGCCGCAAAAAAAAAAATAACCATACAAAGCTTGGTTAACGAACAACAACAAGCAAAAGAACGAAACAAAAAAAAAAGAGGTACTCTCGGTTGATACAGCTTCACCTACAAAACACTTTCAAAATGATAATAGCTTATTATTGACACATTATGTTTCTTGATGACAACAATCCTTTTTCCAATGTTGAATTATGCCACCATTTTCACCAACGATGGGATCCATTCGGGGTATTCTTACCTATTAATTATAGAAATTTTTCATGGCAATTATTTTTTTTCAGCGAATAAAAAAAAAATTGCTTTTAATGTCATTAAACTATTTACTCAAGAAAGCAAAAATTCGAACCTTGTCAAATCAATAAAAAAACTTGTCTAAAATTAACTTTTTTTTACCATCAAGAAATTTCTTTCATTTTCTTATTTAATACACCTTGCACAAATAAAAGTCACTAAATCAGTAGCAATGCCAGAAGGATGAATGCGTCTTCCTCTCTCCTATTCGAAAGTCTTCGACCTCTTTTATTAATATTGACATATTGGAAGAATATAGCTTTTTCAGCTTGTGACGAGAGTATAGTCACTTCTTCCAAAAGTTTATTTTTTTTTATCCATCACTACCACTTATTAAAAACATATTTTTGTAATAAACATATGTCGCATTATTATATTTATATTAAAAATTGTTTCGTTTTTCTTTTACCTGTTTTATATTTTCTTCAGCTTTACGTCTTTCTTCAGCATTTTTACCATAATTCATATCATAATTTTTTCCATCTATATCATAAGCACCAACAACAGCAAAATCATTATCTTGTCCTATATTTTTATGTGCAACACCAACTGGTATTAAAATACAATCTCCAGAAACTAATTCAATATCTTTTCGTACTTGTTCATTATCACCACCTAATCGTACTTGTGCACGACCATCATAACAACCAAGAGCTTCATGAGCAGTTGAATGATAATGATGAAAAGAAAATATTCCATCACGCCATGATTTACCAAAATTATTTTCTTTAAATAATTGTTCCCATTTTGATGCTGAAACTGTTTTACTATCAAATACTTGTCGATAGACTATGACTGATAAATGATTATTATTAGGAAAATATTGTCCATCATCATGTACAAAAAATGTTTCAATTTTAATATTATTTGAAACCATATTTAATGTTGAATAACAACGAAAATAGAATAAAGGAGATATAATCTGAAGTAACAGTGAGGACACAAGTTTCATTTAAATGAAATGAAAAAAAAAAAGCAAATAAATTTTATACATTGCTAACCAAAATTATAGAACTATTTATTCAAATAGATTTCAATTCTTCTATCTGAACGTGAAATCAGATAGATTTAATTCTCAATTAGTATTATTGAAATCTACTATTTGAATAAAAGGATTCGAATAGAAACAACGTTTTTGCATGACAATAGATTATTGAAGAGCTATGTGTCTCATTTCGTTAGAAAGAGAAATATCTTATCACAATATATACTATTCAAGTTAACCCATTGCACGTACACAGCACTACCATCCTTTAGTAAACAGTATGTAAATGAGACTCGCAAAGGTGTTAAGACTTATATACAGATACCGACACTCATAGTAGATACTGTTGCAAATGTTGTCATTCACAACAAAGCCTTTCGAACTTAATTCTCAAGAAAGAATGGAAGTAGTTCGTAAGCGCTACATACTGCCTCGAATAGTATATATTATGATATGACAAATTTTCTACACATTACTGTCATTTTCAAATCAGATTGATGTCGCATTCTTATAGTCTACCAGTTCTATTCAATAAATCTTATCGAGAACATTCCAATACATGTTTTCTCTTTACATCATAAGACAATTGAAATAGTCAAAACTTATCAAATAAATCTATTGAAATAAGTGATTCTATTATTTTTTGGCTAGTATTGTAGATTCAATAATTATAAAGAAATAAAAACAATGAATATTGATGAATTTAAAATCATCTATATTTGGAAAACAATCTATAAAAGAAAAAACTTTTCTACATATTAACGAATTTCTACACCAAATTGCTGTTTACAATGATATTCAATATCTTTATGTATCATATTTATTTCATTTTTTGTTAATGTTCGATCCATAGAACGATAAATAATACGATAGGTTTGTGAATGTCGTTGTTTTTTTGAATTATAAAATTGATCAATAAGTATAACTTGTTCAATTAAATCACCACCAATAGCTCGTACTAAATCATAAAAATCTGATGGATCAATTATAGTTTTACCCATCCACATAGATAAATCATTAATACATTGTGGATATATACTAATAGGTTTATATTGAACTAAACGTGTTGAATCATCGAATGCAAATTGTGATAGAAAACCTGAATCATTTGACCAAAATAAACGAATATCTGGAATACCATACATTATCATTGCAATACGTTCTAAACCAAGACCAAATGCCCAACCAATATGATCTTTATTTAAACCACTATTTTCTAATACACGATGTTCCATTATACCACAACCAAGTAATTCATACCATTTACCATCTATTTCAATTTCATATTCCCATGATGGATGAGTAAAAGGAAAAGTAGCATCAACCCATCGTGAATTTAATGTTGAAGAATTTGAAAAAAGATTTTTAAATAGATCAGTTATAGTTTTTTTAAGAGATGCTTCAACTAATTTTACTGCTTCTAATGTATGTCCTTCTTGTTTAGTAGCATCACGAAGTTCTAAATTAATAAAAATATAGAATTAATATTATTATGACTATCATTTGAAAAATAATTTAAGTAGATCTATTATCATGTTCACAATGTATGTACTCAACATTGACATCAAAGTGTTCATATTGAATAAAACCTTCTAAGATTTCTTATTAAATATCAAAAATTGCATTCAGAAATGCGTAAGAGATATAGAATTGTCGATATGCTAGAGGTGGTAACCAGGAAAAAGTGAGAATGAAACCCACCGTGGTCCAACTCTTCACACTACAGACGATCTGAACAAGAACGTCTCTCTTCCAGTGTGTTTCGAATTCTAGTTTCGGCCCAAAGTTACTCTTTTGAGCTTAGATTTTAGTTAATTGGAGAAGAACATGGAGACTAGGACAATGCTTAAAAGACTTAAAGCTTATAAGCTTTCTCGAGAGTGTTGCAATAGTTGAAAAAACGGTTATTGAATTGACCTGTTATCTATAAGTAAGCTTTCAGTCAAAGTTTTTACTTTCTTCTTGAGACACTCAATACTCATAAATTGATTGAATTTTAAAAACAATTAGAATGATCGGAAGTGCTTGAAAATTGAATATTTCACAAAGAAAGTCATTATTTTTAATGAAACTTTTAAGATATTATGAATATTATGAAAGCTTTAGATCAAAAACATTTTTGACTATCCAATCGCTTCTAAGTTCGGATTCGGTGCATTATGTAGACCCTATTGAATTATGAAAAATTTCAAAATGACAAATGCTCTTAGGCCTTCTGTCAAAACTTATAAGCATTTTACTTCAATTTTAGCCTATATACTAACAAATTAAAGTATGATATTTCGAGTTGAGATTAAGCCTGTATATAGTTCTATTTGTGAATAAATTATCCTGAAAATTTCAGTTCAAAATAATGTTTCTTTATTGAAATATTTAAGCCCAAAAAAAATAAAAATATTCTAGCAATTTAGGTGATTTTAGAGGCTCTAATATTTCAGGATATATTTATTCACAAATAGAACTATATACGGGCTTGATCTCAACGTACTTAAATTTGTTGGTGTATAAGCCAAAAATTGAAGTAAATTGCCCATACGTCTTGATAGAAGATCTAAGGACCTTTGTCGTTCTTGCAGTTTTTCATAATTCAATAGGGTCTACATAATGCACCGAATTCGAACTCAGAGACGACTAAGCAGTCAAAAATATTCCCTTGTCAGCATAATTTTTTGAGTTTATTCTAATGTAAAAGTTCTTTTTATAATATTTTTTTAAATCGATGAATTATTTCAAGTGAATCTTATTTAATAAGTTTTAGATTTATTAATAAAATATAATTTAACTATTCTATTTAAAAATATATTTTATTTTCTTACCATTTGTTCCAAAAATTTGTAAATTATCTTTATCTCCAATAACATTTTTATTTCCAATAAATAATTCTTCTTTAGTAAATAATTTAACACCTTCACATTGATGAAAAACAGGATAATGTGTTGGATCAATACTATCACGTCGATAAACATCACCAATACATAAAAATGCATTAAGACCTGAACGTATTAAATCAACTTGATGTGCAGATGTATGTGCACGTAAAAGTGTATTTTTATTAATATAATAATTCATTGATTTAGTTCTACTAACATGATCAATAGGTATACATATTGAATCAAAATTTTGTTCTGTTGTTACAATAGGTGAAAGATTATCAATAATAGAAAATTTTGGTGATAATTTATGTGGATCATAATATTGATAAAAATATTGACGAAGACGATTTGTTAAATGATATAAGGGATGATTTTTTTGTTGATGTAAATTTTGTCCAATACGTAATAGAATATGTTCAGTAACATTTGTCCATGAATCAGTTGGATAATTTTTATTATTAAGTATTAATTCTTGTGGATAAACTATTGATTGTTTTATTGGATCATATTCAATATTGAATGTATTAATTTTTGTTTTTGTTGTTGTAGTATATGTACGATATGAATAAAATATTGAACGAAAATATAAACGTTTTAAAATTATCATCTAGAAAAAAACATAGATTGACAAAATTATCTAACGAAGGAAAAAAGAAATCAATGATGAAACTTATATATTTTATATTAAATAGATTTTTTTATGTTTTTTGTTGTTGAAGATTTATTATTATCATCAATTGATTTTGATTCATCTTCTTGTATATCTATATTTTTTTCTTGTTTTTTAGTAGATTTTTCTACTAGAAATTTTGATGGAACAATAAGAATAATTGAACGTGTACTTTTTGAATTTGTATGTACTTTAGGAAATTCTTCAAGATATGGTTTAAGTCTTGTAAGAAATTCTTTTTGTTCATCAGTACGTATAGCCTAAAAATTAAGAGCAAATTATTTAAATAGAATCAAATAATATAAGTTTAAAGTTAATTTTTTAATTTCAATTGAATATACAATTATTAATTCATTGGTCTCAACGTTCGGTTATTATTTTTACAGAGTAGACTGAGCAAGTATAAGAGCTTTGCAAAGCAAGATAATGGTTTCTCAGGTCGAGTACAACAATTGTTTACTCTACACATCTGTATAAAAAAAGATCGGTTTTCAAGGGGATCCGGACACTTGCTCGCTATAGGACCCTATGTAACTGTTATAGCGAGCAACTGTCCTAAACCCGTTTTCAAGATCTTAATTTCTACTATGAAAATACGAGACTAAATCGTAGTAGCAATTTTACTCAAAGTTTTTCTCATTCGACTATTCGAACTTTGCATATATATAGCAATAGCTCGATCATTATGATGTACGATAATGTTGTGTGTATGGATCATCGAACGAAAACTTTGAATGAAATTCTTTTCATGATTGAGAGTTATATTATCATCGATTATTCTTAATAATGTGAATAATCATTTGTAAAACTTATCGACTTCGAAATATGTGTATAAAAATCTTAGGATAGTTTTCAGTTCTATGATTTGTATTTTTTTTGAGAGTTAGGTCTTGTTTAAATTTGTCATTTGTGAAGAATTGTATTACTTACTAATTTTTCTGTCTCTTTTTCATCAATAGCATGTCCAAAATCTAATGAAAATCGAATACTACATCCTTTTGTATAAGCTGTTTTGGCTTGTGCTAATTTTGTTAATAAATCTTTTTCAGCAATATTTGGACGAATACGTAAAACAAAATCAGTTATTTTATCATTTGATAATTCACGTTTTTTATTTTCACGTGTTTGATCACGTATTTGTGCTAAACTTTTTCCTGTCATTAAACGAACATCAGGTGGATCATGTGATTCATCAAAAAGTACAAGTATTAAATCACGATATTTAGCTAATTTTTGTGCTTCATTTAATGACATACGACCAAGTAATTGTTTATTTTCATTATCAAATAAATTTATTTCCAAATGTTGATTACCTGGTGTAACACTAAGAATAAATAAATTTTAAATTCTTATTTATTTATTTATTCATACCCGAGTCGACTCGGTACAAGAATTTTCTTTTTGGAATAATATTGTGATATAAAACGTGTAGAAATAATTAATTGATTTGTAAGAAATCGTCTTAGCATATTTTTTTTTATATCTTGAAATATACAAAAAAAAAAAATTTTCATTATTCATCATCTATTTCGTGTTTAAGATTCGTAACAAAAATAGATACAAGACACAAAAAAAAAACAAAATGATTAATTATCCTTTTAATACTGATAATAATTGTTGTTTAATTTCGGGTAAACATTGAAGTTTATCATTCCTAAATAATTATTTATAATTATTAAAATTAATTTTAACTAAAAAAAATCTTACGGAGTATTTTGAAGAAAAACAGAAAGAAGATTTTTTGTTGTTTTTGGTAAATATTGATGAATTTCAATAAATATTTTAAATATTTTATCACGTTGAGTTATTCTATGACGTTGACGTCCAGTTTGTTCATCCTAAATAAAATAAAATATTTAGATAATTTTTAACAATATTGAAATTCTTACTTTAACAAAACCTAATGATACAAGTAAACGTTCATTAAAATTACGTTCACTATCTTCTGTAAATGTTAATGTTTTTAAAATATTTACTAAAACAAAAAAAAAAAAAATATCTTTAATAATAAATAAATTATATAAAATTTTTTACTACATGTAATTAATGAATTATTATTTTGTGATATAGTATTATCACTCCATATATCTTCAAGTAATTTTACAGCACGTTCAATAGATTGTTCATCATTCTTTTAAAAAATATATATATATTAAAAATTTATTTAAAATTATACAGACTTTTAAATATTCTTTAACTTTATCAATATTAGTAAATATTATCCATTTATTTTCGTTTGTCTAAAAAAAAGCAAAAAGATTTTTTTGTCTTATGAAAATTAATAACAAAAGATTTACATCAATAGTTGATTGTAAACCAAAACTAAATGGTGAACAAACATTAATATTAGCTATCATATTTGAAAGACCACTAACAGATTCTGATTGTGTTGATGTTGTTTTTGTTGTACCAAATTGAAAAGGATTCCATGTTTGTTGTTGAAGAGAATTTTTACCAAAAAAAAATGATGGAGATTCAGCATCTTCTTCTTCACCTTCATAATCTTCATAATCTTCATCATTTTCTTCGTCTTCTTCTTCTTCATCATATTCATCTTCATTACCTTCTTCTTCTTCTTCTTCTTCTTCACTACCTTCATCATCACTTTTAATAAGAATATAAAATTAATTTTTCTGAAGATGAATTTTAATTTGAAGTATAGAAAACTCAATAAGATTCTATATATACAGTGAATCTCAAAATTGATCAACCCGGGTTTAGCTTTACTTTATTCTGATAGAGAAAATTGTGTCCAATCAAAATATCAACAATTTTCTCCATCAGAATCACTTTTAAAGATGTGACAAAATTCGAAAATTTAATCAAATATGTTTTTTTTATTTTGTTTCGAAATATTCGAATTTACCTGAATACCATTTGATGAATAAAATTTTTATTTTCAAGTGCATGACGTATTTCATCAATACCATCAGGACCAAAACAATTACCTTAAACAAAAATTCTTATTCTTATTTAATAAATCTAAAAACAAAATTAAACCATTTAAATCTAATATTTTTAATGATGGCATATTTTTGACAACATGTGCTATTTCAAGTGCACCTTCCGTATGCATATCATTACATCCAAGATATAATTCCTTAAAAAAGAAAAAATAAATATATTTTATAACAAAAACAAAATTTAATTACTTGAAGATTTTTATGTGAAACAATAGCTCGTGCTATAGCAATAGCACCTTTTGTACGTATAAGTGATGATTCAAGATTAAGAATTTCTAATTTAGGTAATTTTTCAATAGATAATGCTAATTTTGATGCTGCTAATGTTATTGAATTATCATTAAGATCAATAAGACGTAAATTTTCATTTTTTATAAATGCATTTGTTAATGCTTCAATACCTGGTGGTCTCATACCATTTTGTGGCATACGTATTACTTCTAATGTACCAATAATCTTAATTTATAGAAAAAATCTTTATATTATTATTATTTAGAAAAAATAAAAAAAATACTTCAAATGCTTTTGCTAATGCTTGTGCACCTTCATTTTCAAGACGATTTCTACCAGCTATAAATTGTTTTAAAGCAAATTTTCCTTGACTATTTTTATGACATGTAATTAATGCTTCAGCTAATAACTAATTATAAATAAATATATTTATATTCAAAAAACAAAAAATTTTTTTTTTTAATTTACTTTTCCACCTTCACTACCCATACCACAATTATTAAGTCGAAGTTCTTCAAGTGTAAAACATGCTGATGAACAAAGAAATGTTTCAAAACCTTTAACACCAATTGGACCAAATGCATTATCACTTAAATTTATTTCAACAATATGAGCACCATTTGTTATAAGACCTTGAGTTAATTTAATCTTTTTTAAAAAAAAAACAAAAATTGAATATTCTTCTTTACAATTAAAATTTAATCTTACTAATGATGGTGGTACTTCAGTTTTAAGTCTTGTTGTAAATAAATCATTCCAAATTAAACGCTAAAATAAAAAGAAAAAATAATAATCAATTAAAAAATATATTAAATATTTACTTGAATTTCATGATGTTTTTCTAATGCTTTACCAATAGCTGTTGCAGCTTCTTCATTTATTGTATTACCTTCAAGACGTAAAGCTATTAATTGATCATATTGTTCAATTGCATCACATAATTCTTTGACTATAAAATATTAGTGAAATTTTTTGTTTTTAATTTAAAAAAAGAAAAAAAGAAAGATTACCATCATCAGCACTATTTCCTTTTAAACCACGATGTGCCCAAGATAATTCATGTTCAGTTGATTTAAGACTTTTTGATAGATTATCAGTCATAATTAGTTATTATGAAGAAGAATTATAATCTGAAAATCATCAGTAATATATTTCTATGTAT